TGCCTGGAAGTCAGATTTTTAAGCATTCTCTCTTTTTTTGTTGCTCTCCCCTGGGCCCTCTCCAATTTGTCCATATCTCTCTTAAAGCTGGCACCGGGAGATCTCATCTCATCTCTCATTTGAATAAATAAATTCAATTAAAGCTAGTTTCTAGCGTGAAGAGTTGTGGAGAAAGCTTAAAAAAATAACAACCCGAAAAGCTCAAAATCCAGAAGGCACCGAAACAAAACCCAAGATGTGTTGTCTTTTAAAATCTGTTATTTAAGCTCACTTGGCTTGAAGTTAGCAATACCCACACAGCCCAGGTAGCTTTAAAAGTACATTCTACAGGCCCACAAACCTAGATACACCAACAGCTTGAGAGAGAGTCCCTCTTTCGGGGACCGCTGGGGAGCTCCTTGACTGGCCACTCCTGGCTCAGAGGCACGAGCCGGCTTCTGATCTACCACCAGCCATTGGTCATCTTAATGCTGGGACCAGGGCTTGCTGGGGAATGGCACCAAGCTCTACTGCATGGGATGAGGAGCTGGTCAATCTTGTAGGGAGACTGTACTTAAGGCACAAACTAGTAAAGGAGGATTTGCTCTGTCCTGGTCTGTGCCATAACCGCTGTCACCAGTGATGTCGCCAACCACTGCACCCTACAGGACCCTGTGCACAAGCTCTGATGCATGCTCTCCCCCCCCCCCCATTCCTCTCCCCTCTTCCATGCTGCCACGATCCAGGTGCACCTTCTCCACTGTTGATTCTTCAGCCTGTAGTGGCCCCCATTTTATGCTTCATCTCAGACTTTCCTATTGACTTTGGGAGACCCATCTAGGTCATTAGCACAGCCCAGTGTTGTCATTGCACACACTAGAGGACAATACTACTCTCAACGCACCTATTGTGCCAGGCTTTTGTAATGACTATGACCAACTGTGGCCCATCATGCCATAAAGCAGGGGTAGAAGATAATTAGGGAAAATCTCCTCTGCTAAAAGAAATCCAGATCTACACACTCATGTTTCCAGCAACACGCATCCCACTATAAAACAGCCTTTGTGCAAACAGAATGGCACAAAACACACCCGACTCACCCAAAATGAAGGTCTTAAAGAAGTTTCTCAGAAGAAACATCAAAATATCATTTTTTTCACTGCTTGTGGAGTCAAAGGAATAATACATTTTCAAAAACTCTTTTGGATCAAAAAGTTTCTCCAAAGCTTCTTTCTTAGTGCGGCTCTGGTCCATTTTGTCTCTGAGTTTGCAGATGTTCAACTGCCCGGCTGTTCCCAATCTGGGTTAATATGGGGTTCCTCATCTCTTCCTGGCCATGACTCCACCTTCTTTTGTCCAAATATCAGATTACAGGCTTTCTTCATAACTCCCTCACACGCCCCTGTGACCTGGGGTGCCCGGGGCTGCCCTCACTGAAAATGCCAAGGTCAGGCCAGGCTGCAGAAGGGAGAGCAGATAGTCCCCAAACTAGTGGTTAACACTGAAGTTAAACTCACCAACCAGTCAAAGACAGTACTTCTGATCTCCCACGCTGGTTATCAAGAAGTTTAAAAAAAGAAATCCCCCCAGCCCCCTTACTGCATTCCAGTTCTCTGGCTCTCAATCAGCACCTACGTCCAGTACAGTGAGAAGGTATTTAAAAACTCAGTTCACATATACCAAATGTTCTTCAGATCCCATAGGGTCAGCCACGTTACCAGGTCAATATTAGTTTAGATCCTACCCAAAATACCATGCTGCCAGCCAATCCTTTAGTATCTAATACTAAAGGTTTATTATAAAGAGTTATTAAATGATAAAGCACTCAAACACATATAGAGATTTCCAAGTACATATATCATGTTCTTGGGAGTATCGTGAGTTTGCTGGCTTGGAAGTCCCTCTGAAACACATCCACAGCTTGGATGGGTCTTTCAGTACTTTGTTTAGAGCTTCGTTTGTAGAAAAGTTACTCCAGTTACTACATGCCTTGCTGACTCATGAGGTGTATCCCTTGCCTTCTCTCAATGGGTCAACTGTACAGCCGATGATCCTTGATGGACCATCAAACAGACTAGGCGGTGCTGATGTCAAACTGCCTGGGGGTGTCTTCCAGAAACACAGCGGAAGTTTGGAAATACAGATATACCCTACATATCTCTAACTCACAATACAAAGGCAATACAAACATAAACAAGATTATCAGACTTGGCAAATCACCAACACCTTACACAGCATATCTAGCATAATTCATTCCAATTTTATAGTATTGCTGTTAATATTATAAATGGTCACCCATATTCCATACAGCGTCGAACTCCAGTGTCTCCCCAACCATTCATGAACCTTGAACCCTTTTCTCCCCTGGAAGGATTTTTCTCTTACTGACGCTGGCTTCCCCCAAGAGAAGTACAAAGTGGGATTCCATGGCCTTTCCTGTGGAATCTGGCTCATCTATGAGCCCTGGCTATCAGCAGAGAGGCAACTGCATCATCTCATGCCCCTCTCTAGATACTGGACAGGTGCTGTTCATCCCAACATGGCTCTGCTTGTAGGTTCTGATGCCACCATAGCCCATGATGGTGGCACTGCTGCAAGATATCCAAATGTACCACAAGAGGTTCCCTGCCTCTTTCTGGAGAAGGAGGTTCTGGAGGAAGCAGTGAAGGAGGCTGGTTATGATATTTTGAAGTTTGAGGTGACTCCCATATGCTATCCAGCTAGTTTGGGAGAGCATGAGGGGATCTCTTACCTAGTTGCTTCCAAAGGGAAGGGCAAAGAAGATTAAAGAGAAAATACATCAGCCCAAGGCAAGTAGAGAGGCAGAATAGATTAGCTGTAGGTGCTGGTAAAACTGAAGATCAATGTGCTCTATGGAGCTTTAATGACCTCCAAGCACGTTGGAGAACCGGTTTGTTCAGGATGCAGTAGCTTGAACCCCTTGTTGTGCCACTAAAGCTGCCCTCATCCCGGTCCTTTCCCACTCAGAGCTGCCATAACGTCTCCCTGGCCTCCAACCCCACTGTGCTTCATCCAGTCTAGCTGCACCGCACTGGGCTTCTTCATCCTCTCCCTCCTCTTGCCATGTTTTGCCTAGGCCATGCTGCAGCTGTGCAGCTAATAATAATTACATAATGAATCATACAAAGCTCTTCTCACTGCTAATGGACTGGAGCCTGCTCCCAGTATAAGGGGCAAAACTCCCATTGGCTTCAGTGGTGCAGGACTGGGCCCAATCAGTGCTGGGTTTGGAATCATGGGTGGATGGGGTTTAGAAAGAGGATCAAAACACATCTACAGGCCCAACCACCCCAGACTGTTAGGAACAGACATTCTGCCCCTGAGCTGCCTCTGGATTCAAATTCTGCAAATAGCTCCATTTGATAATGGGTTGAGCTACTCCTTTCTAACCCCAAATTTTGCAACTCGCTCCCATGTCAT